ACTTATTGTCTTTATTACTTCAAATCTCATACTCTAAGTTTGTCTTGATTTAGCCTAGTAAGGTTGAGTCATTTTGGGGGCGTTGAAAGGCTGACTTAGCGCTTTCTCGTAGGGACAGGAATTGTGTTGCGTTAAGGCCGCACGGTGTCTAGTTTTTCTAGTGGTAAGAAATCTAGTCCCGTGACACATGTCTCTAAGTAAGAAGTCCATGGCAAATAAAACAGAAGCTCTAATATATATCAAATGCAGGTTCCAGTGACAGACATTAGAAACACACAGTTAATAGGGAAGCAAAGGTACAAAGACTTGAGCAGAGAAAACACCAAACTTACTAGCTTAGAAAATTTCTTTTATTTTAGACTAAATTAAAGATGTAATGAATTACCTGTTTCTCAAGTTTGTTCAGCTGGCACCGGAAATCATTTCGTTTCTGATCAAGCATCAGCTGCTTCTTACGGAGTTCTTCCTTCAAAACCTCTAAACTCTCCAGCTTGTTTTGTAAAAAAGGTGGGCCTTTGGGACTACTGGAAACAACAGGCCTGTGATGATCATGAGCTAGCACTTGAGCAACAGAAGGATGGGCATTACAGTCCTTGCCACCTACAGAATGAGAATTTTCCTTTCCTTTGTCAGGAGCAGATGGATGGGGAAGAGCCGGACAATGTGTTACTCCACGGGGAGTAGTGGGTACATTACTGCTGCCACTTACTCTATCATCAGGAATGTTGTCCCTATTTGCCCACCAGAGCTTGATAAATCGATTACCCATTACAGCATCAGGTGCCTTAAAAGCAGCTTCTGCTTCTTCCCGCTTAGAGAATTGGACAAAAGCTCGTTCGCTATTAAAGGGGATATAAATGTCAATGACCCTACCAAATTTTTGAAAATGTGAAAGAAGAGCCTCCTTTCTGTTATCTTTCAGAGGAATGCCTTTGACAAATAGGGTGCGAAGTGCCTTATGAGATGGCTTTCGGACATCATGTCCAGATTCACTTTGTTGCTTGAAAGACATTTCCTTAAATTGAGGACCATTTAGATTCACATTCATCTTTTTACCATGATCTGAAGCATCTCGAGAACCAGTGATTAAAGGTTCCAGATCTTTGCTCTCAGTTTCAAGATTAGAGTAAGTCATTGAAGAATTGATTTTCTCCTTTAGTCCTGATCTATTTCGTGACCTGTCTATTCTTCCCCACACAGATGAATTTTGGGATCCAGCAGTAGCAGCATTCCTGGTTGCACGCTCATCATCAAATACTGCTGAAAACCCAACCAATTGATGATTGGAGGGATCAGTATCCAAGAAAGACTTTGTCTCATCCACATTGGAACGATTAAGTGCTAGGACTGCTGCTGGTGTTTCAGTATGATCATTGGTCCATAAAGGCTGGTCAGGATCATAGACGTCAGAACCTCCTGTCATAGGACCACCAATAAAACCATCATTCAGGCCCAAACCATCATCAGTCATTGCAACCTTGCTACTTTTTCCATATGAAGCTCTGCCATTCATTAATGTGCCAGAAGGAGCAGGTACATTAACTGCAGGTAGAGTGCCTTGTCCAGCAGGAGTTACAAGACGCTGTGAGCCAGGAAGTGAAACGGGGAGATTGAATTGCGAAAGGGACTGCAATTTCAGAGATTATGACGACTTAAACAATCAGTCCTTTATCCAATTATACAATTGAATGGAAAAGCACAATAGCTTGAGACACATTATCATGGCATATCATTACCAACAAGTACACAACTTGAGAATACCTATTCATTGACAAATTAATAAATGGATGCAGACAGACAGACAGACAGACAGACTTTCAGAGGAAGGCTTGCCAAACAGTGATTTACATTCAGATCAAAATAATCATCAATACAATTGAGTGTGCCAGCAATGCTAGAAGCATTGGATATACATTTTCTCTCCCTTCTTGCCCGTGATCTATCTATCATTTTTTCTATTTCCTCGAAATCATGTCCAGATTGCTGTAGGTCTTCTTCTACATCCTATCACCAAGGGATCCACATTTACTCAGCTTACTCTCTCACTTTTCCAGTAACATCACACCAGTTCTTCTTTTTACAATCAACTGTCTCCCTCTACCAACATTAGCCATGCGAACACATCTACTGGTACTTATTATATTTTTTGATTTCAATATTTCTACAAAATTGATTTGTTTATCAATACTTTCTTCTATGCCAAAATTTGATGTATTTCATAAAACATTATCCTTTCATTCCAAGAGCTGGGAAACATTTCGTTAGATTATTTTTATAGTTTTGCATTATGTTTATGTAGATTTTGAATTGAGGTTGGCTATGCTGTACCAATTTCAAACCTGTAAAGGTGCTTCTATAGTTAATTCACATTTTTCATGATTAATTTATTAGATACGAATATTCAACTTCAAAATCTGTTTTACCTGTACTGCAGAAGACGTGTTGATCTTCTCTCAAATTTATGTAAAATATTGGAGGTAAATGGGAAGCATTCAACTACACCACTTCCAAAATGGACATCCGTGCTAACATTGAAATATTAATGCAAAATTTTAGAAACAAAAAATAAAGTTCACTGTTATCCGCTTTGACAGTTCCGTATTTGCAATGGTGGTTGTATCATTCCGTAATAGGAAATTAGGAAGTTCCTAGTCAATGTCAAACCAAGAGATTCCTACCTCTATATTGAAAAAGGATTAAAAAGACAAATTCCTCAGGTGGTGTGGTTTTCTCATTAAAAGTATGTGGCTAGTAGATAAACTATGACGTGAAAGCATAAACTGACATCTATAAATTTTATCACGGATCATTCAGGACATTGTTATA